GCTAGATTCACTTTCGCCTGAAAGTCGTGTATGCCTAAGATTGAAAATAAATGATGTTTATAGTGAATGCCCCATGAATGGTTTTATTATTTTTACGATTTAGTTTTAATCCAAATGATGCGTGTGCTAAGTGAGTGAACATCAAAGATCACACACCAGAATTGCGCGCTCTCTCTCTCTCTCTCTCTCTACCGTTAAGTAACTTGTGCATTGTTTTACTTACTTGTTTTTGACATATCCGACCGAACTGCAAACTTTCCAGTGATGTCTGTGAGAAAGGTATATTCACTCGACAAGCTCACGCGCGCTCAATCCACTCACGCGCGAGCACATCGGCTATACAGGCGTTAATACTGAATGTTTAACATTATATTCATTGCATACATATACTTCGTATACATCCTTAATCTCTAATAACTCCATCCTGCTGTCTTTTGTTCTGTTGTCGGTGTTTCTTTGTTTGAATATGGGGCTTATCACATGCTGTGTGGTATCGGCGTTTGGTATCGGGGCATTTTAAGGAGTACGAGTACAAGAGCTCAGTATCGGCCCGATACCGGGTGCACCCCTAGTGAAAACAAATGGTTGTCAGAACCGTAAAGCTGTTGTTTTGCTCGTCCACAGCAAAACTGTATAAGATATTAAAAGGTATTTTCAGAAAATTCTAAATGTGTCTTTACACAGACTGTTTAATGCTGCTTGGTTGTGGCATGAATGCATTTACACAGTAATAATAAGTGTATACCATGATAATAGGGGCTTAAGTTGATCAGAGCAGGCATAATTCAACCTGGCCTTTAAGCAGCCACAAAGCAAACTTCTTTTAATGATGTAAAAGTGTATTTTGTCTTGTTCTTGAATATTTCATACTTTAAAACAAGACAACAACTATTCTATATAGTTATATGAATTATATATATTTTTTGTTTTGTTTTAAGTGTTGGTCCTAAAAGCGACTACTAAAACGGTGGGATATAGATGTGTTACAATTCTTGAGTCTGGAAAAAAATAAGACCAAATTTACGTCGGTAAATTGATTTTATGTGACGACCTTTCATAAATTATCTTCAAAATAAGTTATTACTTAATTAGGTTGAATTAATGCATATCAATTATTGTTTTTATGATTTATTAATGTTTTTTTAATGTACATACACAGAGTAAAGCACAAGAATCTTTTTGTCTGTACACATGTAGTGTTGTCGGCTGTGTTGGTATGTGATTGTGTATGTTGTTGAATGCTGTACAAAATAAAAATACAAAAAAGGTACTACTAAACAGTGAAATTGGTTATTTAAAAAAAAAAGAATAATGGAAAATAATTGTATTCTTCGATATTTACAAATACTAATTATAAACACTAAACTTAATGTGATGTGAAAGACTTCAACTAAATGGGTCTCTATTTCTGAGCAATTTTTGTAGTTTTTAAGTTCAACCACTGTTAGTCTAGTATCAACCATTTGCAATTTTGGATGTTTGTTGCAAAGCCCTGCCCTTTTTCAGATCTTGCCCAGTTGATTGAAAGCTTAAAGGGATAATTCGCCCAAAAATGAAACTTTTGTCATTAATTACTCACCCTCATGTCGCTCCAAACCCGTAAGATTTTCGTTCATCTTCGGAACACAAATGAACATATTTTTGATGAAATCCAAGCGCTTTCTGACTCTCAATAGGCAGCAACTACCACGTTCAAGGCTCAGAGAGGTAGTAAGAACATTGTTGAAATAGTCTATGTGACATCAGTGGTTCAACCTTAATTTTATGAAGCTACGAGGATACTTTTTGTAGGTAAAGAAAACAAAAATACTTTATTCAACAATTTCTTCAACGTGCGTTCATGAGAGTACCACATTCTTTGCACACAAAAAAGTATTCTTGTAGATTCATAAAATTAAGGTTGAATCACTGATGTCACATGGACTATTTTAACAATGTCCTTACTACCTCTCTTGGGCCATGAACGTGGTAGTACCATTGCTGTCTATGCAGGGTCAGAAAGCTCTCGGATTTCATCAAAAATATCTTAATTTGTGTTTTAAAGATGCACAAAGGTCTTACAGGTTTGGAACAACATGAGGGTGAGTAATTAATGACAAAAGTTTCATTTCATTCAACCTTTTAATGTCCAACAGACAATTAGATGCTTTCCCCAATGCAAATAGTGTAAATGATGTTCTCATAGACCCCCAGTAAAGCACAGAATCTGGACAGGATGTGTTTAGAGCCTCTTATCTGCTGAACACTGATCTTTGCTCTTAAAATCAATAATACAGGTACAGTATGTGACAAATACACCAAATATTCAAAATACACCAAAATTGAACTAATTTCTATAAAACAATTAAAACAAGTTTTACAGTATTAGAAATTATTATTTTGTTACCTGTCCAACTGACTGCATAGACAGTGTCAGTCCAGTCACTCCAGACGCCGTCAAACTCATCCTTGGCCCGGAACTGCACTTCATACTGATTGTGTGGCAGAGCATCATAAATTGTCCAGGACACATGTCTGTCCATCCTGTCATATATCAGCACTGACTGGTACTAAATACACACACATAAATACCATTGTGCCATTGTGCCATTTCAAGATTTATACATACAAGCCTTCCCATTTTACCTGCTCTGCGAGTTGTGATCGGTATCTCAGCTGGAAACACAGGGCATAGAAGCCATGCTTCCAGTAACTGGGATAAGACCAGGATACTTTAAGCATATGCTTCTGTCCCTCAACTGCTCTCACCACCACCCGGGTCGGAGGGTCTGGCTTAACTACGGAGAAAAAGATTTTTGTTTCACAAGCACATTGATGGTGTTCTAAAAGTGTAAGCGACTAATCAACATCCCACAGAACAGGAAAACACAAGCACTCACTGATGTCATGAAGCTTGAAGCTGAGGTAAGGGCTCGTGGCATTGCCTGCTGTGTTAGACACACACAGTTTTGCCACATGGAGAGCTCTGTCACCCTCCTCCACGTGAAAAGCACACCAACAGAGGGAGCGGGAGAATGAACAAGGCACGCGAGTGACGTTACCAAACAATCTTTGTAGAGAGAGAAGTGCACAGGAGAGATCAGATGATAATCATAATTTAAAAGAATAAATAAAATTATTCAGTTATTATTTACATAGGTTCCATATGTTATTCTGTATATTTTTCATTAAAAAAATGTAGAAATCTACAAATATATTATACATTTATTTAAATACTTACATAAACACTGAGTCATTTATTCATAAAGTGCTGACTGCTGCTAAATACATACACTCACTCTCTAATTTGAAGGAGGTAAAACAGTGGCCGTGGGGTTACTGGATTTTTGGATGTCCAATCACAGCGGACTTTACTGGTGTGAAACTTCTTGTAGCAGTAGACAGTGGGTCTCTCTGGTGGCACTGTGAAAAAAGTGCAAGGATGTGAATTTCTTCTGTGTGTATCTGTAAATCATTTGTCAATATGCAAATGACTAAATAACTAAATGTAAATGTAAATGTAAATATGCGTGTGAAAGAAGGTCCTCACCCCCTACGCTGATTCTGAATGTGGAAATTAGTCTCTCTCCTCTGTAGCAGCTGTAATTCCCAGCATCTGCCCAGCTGAGATGTGGCCATCTTAAAACCACCCCCCTTTCCACTCCAGAATGCAATTGTCGTCCACTGAGAGTCCAGCGTGTTCGCTTTTTGATGCCTCTTGTCACCCTGGACCTTTCCTCTTCATAATCATAGTCCTGATGAAAATCCTTCCCCATGGTGATATCAAAGACCTCTTCCTCCTTCCCAGTAGTTGACTGACAGCACGCAAAACACATCTAGAAGTGCTTTGTTCCTTTCTTATGGTTACAGGTGGTTTAACTGTAACTGTAACTGTTGTGTCCCCTTTAGCTTTGGAATACATACCAGAATCAAACTTTTGGTATGTCTCAGTTGTAACATTTCCCTTCATACTGGTTAGCTGTGTAGCATTAGCATCACCTGTTTGGGATGTCCAGCTGACAGTGATGTCTTCTGTCTGCTTGTTTCTGTATTTTTTATTTGTGACACTGGCTGAAGCCAACGGCACACCATCCACAGAGACACCGCCTCTGCAGCCAAGCACAACATTGCTTCCTAACTTCAAGACCAAAACTCCAGGAAGGGGCTCTGAAGAAGATTCAGAACAGTTTTAGATATTTAATCACATTAATAATCCTTTACAAGATGTTTTAGTACAGTTTTTTTATGTGTCATATGTACTGGTTTCTAGTACATAATATTCTAACTTGGGTGAGTATATACAGTACATTATACCCACAGTTCATAGCGCCGGTTATATATGGAACAAAATTATGAATTTTGAACCAGTAATGAACTGGTACTTTTGCTTTCACTTCCTTTTATTAAAATCCCCCAGATTCTTCCCCACTATCATAAACGGACTAAAGGGGATCACTATGTAAAAGAAAATGGTAAACTTTTTTTCCTCCAAGTTCACAGCACTTTGAAACAATGAACTATTACTAAAAGCATATAAAATCCACACTATGCCTCATTTTTATGTGTCATAGGCAAACATTTGCTGTAACATTATTAGGGAAATCCTCATCATACTCAGAGATGCCTTTGATTTTCTATCTGTGTACCTCATGTGAGTATTACTTCAATTATGCAATGGGGGGGGGGTCTAGACTATGTTTTATTTAATTTTGTAATATTTGTATTTTTTTGTTTTAATATTATATTATTTTTTGAATATTTTAAATTTTTTTATATTATTAATTTTTTGCATATCTTACATCGTTGGCACAGCTGCACTTTGTTATTTCATTCAGTCAGCGACGCGCGCAGTGCACAAAACTCCGGTGTTTCAGCAATGACTGTTCTGAACACCTCTGATTGGCCATTGCATTCATAAGCTCAACAGAATCGTGTGTGATTGGTTATAATGTAAAAACACGTCTGTCTCTGGCTCAGCGCCAGCCAGCGAACGCAGATTTGAATTTAGCAGCTAGTGATGTGCCGCACATCACACCTGTGTGATTGAATCAATTATAAAAAATATCATTCGGCTTTTTTTGTCTTTTGGAAGTTGCATCCCAACTAGGCTCGAAAATCTGAGGGGGCACGTGTCCCCTCGGTTTGAATGGGCATGACGCCTCTGCTTTTGGCTCTCAGGGCTGTAGGAAATAATCTCTCAATATTTATGTTGTTTGCTAACAATGTCCAAGAGTAGACATACATGTATCACAGAATAATTTTTGTCTCTTTTTTCCCCACCGAATGGCCATTTCCACCACATCTCAAATTAAATATTGTGTTCGAGAACATTTTGTGGTAGAAATTAAATTTTCATATTTTTGTAGTAAAAAAGGACTCTGTTTTGCTTTTGTTTGGCTAATATCATAGTTAGCATTTGATGTGTCTGAAATACACAAAACTTTTTGCAATTATAACTTGATTGCAAATGATAAGCACAATAAAAACTATTCTCATCAGAAGTTTTACATTAGTCTTTTTTTTTCTCCACGCATCACATCTTTGCTCATACATTTTTTGTAGTTTTTGAAAAAAACAAACAAACTGATAATCATTTTCAAACAATAAACATGGAAATTGTTTATTCTTTTCGCATTCATTATTTTAATATGTTTTTGTTTTATTTAATTTTATTTTATTTTAAGATTGAAAGCAGAAAAAAAATAATGAATGAATGTGAGGTAAAAAGTTTCCAAGAAGTTTTGAATGTGAACATTCAATATAAAAAAGAAAGGTCCCGTGATGAAAGTTTTTACACTTAATTTAACTTAATTTTGCTATTAATATTAGGCTATTCTTTACTACAAGCGCTCATCACTAACCATTAACCACTGAGTCAGAGATGAATCACTCTGGCTACAGCCTAACAAGACCATGAAAGAGATATAAATCTGTTTTTTTTAAAGTCAAAATATACAATACAGGTCAAGAATAACTGATTAAGGTTCATCACACAAATTCAACCACAAATGAATAATTCTCAGTTGTGTTTCGAAATGAAATGGTTTATTACCTAGTCGAGGACACAGCTCTTCTGAGGCAGACTGAACTTTAATCGCAGCTAATACACCGAAGAATGAGAAGAGAAACTTGAGTGTAGATCGGCTCCACATTATAAATTCATATTTCACTTCCAAAAAAATAATAAAAATAAAATAATAATAATAATAATAATAATCAGCCACCAAAATATACAATATGGTAACGGGTCATAATGTCAACCCGTTCAGCAAGTTTAATGATGAAAATTTACATTTTCCTCACATCAACATTTCAGACAGCCTAATAAAATAAAGAAAATAAAAACCTTACGATTTAAAATGTTATTTAAAACGGTTTCATTATTATTTGAATCATAGTAGGCTACAGATCTAGGACAAAGCGTTAACTAAGCCTATTCGTTTGACAAAATATATTTTCAGTTGCGACTAGATTTCGATGCGGAGCTCGTTTGTTTGTGAGAGAGCCAGAAGACTGCAGCCCCTTCCTCTCCTCCCCGCATATCAGACTATCTGTTACTTTCACAAATCCGCTCTTGCGACACTGATGAACCACAAAGACAAACATTTGACAAGGCAAAGACCGAGAAACAAACTAATTCTGTTTGCGGTCAGTTGCTTTATAAAACATTACTACATGACCCAAGACCTGCTATATCACTGAGGTTCGCCAGAATAGATCAGGTCTGCTGCTAGTAATATAGCCTATATACAGTGGGTACGGAAAGTATTCAGACCCCCTTAAATTTTTCACTCTTTGTTATATTGCAGCCATTTGCTAAAATCTGAATACACTGACTAGCTTGTAGTATGTTTGGAATTAAGAGCTTTTAGAATGTTAAAAACCTATGGGGAAAAACAAAACAAACAAAAAGGATAATTATTTAACACCCCAACCCACCCCCACAAAAGCAGGATGGTAGTGATCTCACACAGCTCTGGACACATCTATGTGTAGCCATTCATCCACATTTGAACAGAGTGGACAGTGAAACTGTAAATACAGTAATGCTGTAAATACAGACTGATAAGGAAGAAAATAAAAAATCAAACCTGCTTTAAAACACAGCATAAAGTTATAAGTTTCCAGAAAAAATAATACTCAAGTAAGGTACAGATACTCAAAAAGAAACTCAATAAGTTAAAGTCATAAGTTTCCAGAAAAAATAATACTCAAGTAAAGTACAGATACTCAAAAAGTGTACTTAAGTACAATACTCAAGTAAATGTACTTAGTTACTGCGATTTGTAGGGGGGGATGGGTCTATGCATTTATTTTATTGATGCTACCCCACCAACCACCAAGAGAGCATATAAAATACAACAACAACAAAAAAAAATATATATATTTAAATATCAGCAAGTAAAATCAGCAGATCAGCAACATGACAATACAAACAACAATAAAATCAGAAAAGGGCTTTAACTGTCAGCGCTCCCGCTTAAAGACCGTGATCCTGGTTCACGCGCCTTAAAGGGGTCATATGATGCGATTTCAATTTTTCCTTTCTCTTTGGAGCAGGGCTTTTCAGAAGGTCAGCGCACGCTATTAGTCTATTTAAGAGTGACAGTATGAGATTAATACATAATGTTTTTGCTCAAAACTCACTCTACTGTGACCTAATGCAGATATTGTATATATCAAACTGACGCATAAATATATTATGAGACTGAACGCAGAAGTTTACAGTCATGGTATTGTGGGAATTATGATCATGCAATATTGACTGATGGATCGGCAGAGAATCGTATTTCTGCGAGTTATTAAGAAATGATGGTTCTATTCTATTTAAAGAAATATGAGGTAAACGTGTGAATACACAATGTGCACACTTTTGGAGTAAAAGTTTGTATGTTGTGTGAAGCACTGATCAAAATTAAATGGAAGCAAATGCGATTGAATACATACAGGATTGTGTTTCATTATTCTATTCAAAATATAATTAACTCCCGATTGATTTTGCTGGCAGAAATAAGAACTATTAGTGTCATCATAAATAGTGGTCAAATATCGAAGCTATCTAATCTCAAGGTCAAATCAGAATATTTATTGTAAAAATGTTTCTGTAACAGCTGCCAAAAAATAATCTATGTATTTATAGCTCCACTTTGATTTGTGATATAGCCTATTTTCAAGAGAAAATGTTGTTTTTGTTTTTTTTCAAAACATCCCCCCCTCTGGTTCGTTCACAAAGCGCACCCTTTATATATAGGCTATATATATAAGAGGTCGCCCTCTTTATAGGCCAGACTCCGCCGCTTCTTTGGACATACCATTTTTAAAATAATACATTTCTCACTAGACTTCTAGTGCGCTTGTGTCAAGCGCCTGCCGAGCGCTACATGTAGAAAAACTAAATATACTAGGGCTTTGATAACAGCTAGCGTTCCGCGATCGGCCCACCAGGAAAAGGTCGGCATATCAATCTAGGTTTACTTTTCCTGATTCTTCCTTTTCTAATATATATAAGCTATTTTTATTTTTATATAAGCTTCTAATATATATATATATATATTAGAAATAGCTTACATAAAAACATTTTATTAATGAATAGAAACTAGTTCCCACCAAAATGAATAGTCTAATTTACCCATCCGTGGAACACAAATTTGGAAATTCAAGTGTCAAAAGCTTCATAAAAACGCCATATAGTGTGATAAAAGTCCATACGTGGTCATTATTCAATTAACGTTTTATGGCTGCGACTGGATCATTGAATCAGTGAGTTGAACTCTAGAACCGGATCAGCTCAATTCTTGAGTAAATCATTCAAACTTGTCTTGTGAACAGTATGAACTGATTCATTGAAAAGATCCGACTCAACAGAACGAATCGCTCACAAATCGAGTATCACTATTTCCCTTGTGAGATAAGTATCATATGGCCCATTTTTATGGTATTTTATAAAAGTTTGACATCTTCAGTCCTCACTCATTGCATGGAAAAGAGTGAGCAGAAAAAATCTTCAAAATGTCTCCTTTTGTTTCTCACAAATCATACGTGATGATGAGCAAATTATGACAAATATAATTTTTTGGGTGAACTATTCCATTATAAATGATTTATCTTTCAAAACTTGTTAGACACACAGCCATGATCAGGTTTTTACTTGATTAAAATCATTTAATCATATCTATTTTTAATTTTTCAATAGGCCCATTCACAAGAGTAGAGTCATACTATTTACTTCACAGACCATTTGGATTTGGCTAACAGACACTGAAACAAACTATTCATAAGATGACCTTTAACCTCTTATTGCAATATATAAATGTGTGGATGGAAAAAAAAGAACACCCACACATTTAGCTTTTAAGGCATGTAATTGTTACAACAGTATGAAAGCTAGGCCTAACTTAAACAGGGAAGAGGGCAAGTATGGAGCTCAGTATCTTCTCAAACATCTTTAAAAACTTTCTTGGTCTGTCTCACCCATTCACATCACAACAACAACAACACCACACACACACTACTGTGTTTAGAATCTTATTAGCCCATTTACCTAAATCCAAACACTGTTGAACGCCACATTTAGATCATGATGGTCAAGGTGGAATCCATTTGGTAACTCTGATGTAAATTATTATAATCCAACTTAAAAAAAAAAGTCAAACACATTTATTACAGTCCACTAGATCAATGCAAATGCCTAAACCCTCAAGGGTCCAGTAGAGGAAAGTTTGAGGTTGAATCGGACTTTATGTCAAGCAGTCAGGGTTGGAGCACCAATATGGTGCAAAGAAATGGATGAGAAAGAACGGGTTCATCCAGCAGAATCACGTTCTCACTGAGAACTATAGTGTTTTATCACAGAACCACATACATCTTAATGCTATTTTCAGCAGTGGGGAAAAACAGAAAATCTCTAGCCTTCTCTAACAGTACATAAGAAAGTTCACTTGCCTAAACTCAAGTAGCACTATTAACCTCTGAGCAACAAAAAGACAAAAAGCTGAAGTATTTGACTCAGCAAAACAATATGCTGACAAAACGATCAAAAAAGTATGAGACCACAAGAAAGTCACTAAGAGATTAAAAAATGGAAGAAAAGATAAACCACACTTAATATATAGAGATACAGACAATCCTTGACTTGACCGAGATTTCAAACGAACAAGATAAGTCACTGAACTACCCAATTTGAATACAAAAACATAAAACCTAATACAGCTGAGGCTGATACTTCAGGTCATTTAGCTATCGGTAATATTTGTACAACTCTTACTTGAAACTGTTACATGTGCAGTGTATTAATATATTGTGATATGTATTGATAAATTTATAGTAAAATATGAAACAGAAATGCTTTAATGTATAAATGTCAGATTTTTTTTGTCTCCAAATTAAAAACGATTGAATATAACGATAGATGTAAGTTTAACATAAAATGTAATTTAGCATAGGAGAACAATTAACATCAGCTATTTGGATAGTCAGGTGTGTTGTAATATCAGCCGTGGCAATGTTATTTAGTGGTTTGTTGTCTGATAACTTGGCTAGAATGGAAAACTCAGTCATAACCAGTCAAATAACATCATATTTGTCCTCCTCACTGACAGGAAATCTGATAATAAGCACAATTCTTTTGCTTTCTGTTTGCACAGTTCTGCATCCATTTCCATTTGTGTTTCAATTCAAGCATATGTTTACTCCCATACTGTCTGGGGCGCTGTCTTCCCTGCCCATGTCCTCAGAAACATGAGCACACGTCAGAAGGTGTGAGCATCCCCATGAAGGATTCCAGTTGGGCCATCTATCCATCACTCGTCACTGGAAGTTTCTTCTGCTATGGGAGGTGGTCCAGGACTACTGGCACCATTGATACGAGCTCCGGTTCCCTTCCACACAAATGGTGCTTCCTAGAAGAAAGAATGAAAGGACTACTAAACAATATAAAACATACGGTGATATGATCTACACTAGAATAAATGTGAAAAAATCATTTACTCACCCTCATGTTGTTACAAACCCAAAATGACTTTCTTTCTTTATTAAAAAAATCTTAAAAAAAGATATTTTGAAGAATGACAGTTTTGGTTACAATTGACTTATAAGTCATACAAGTTTGGAATGACATGAGGGTGAGTAACTGACACTTTTTGGAAAGAAAGATTTCTTTCCATTCCAATTTTTCTCAAGTATTAATTAAAAAAATGTTATTCAAAGTTAAGTTTTTGGGGAGAACATGGATTTAAGGAATTTCGCCACTTTGCATTTAAGGAGAGTAATAATGTCTTGCCAGAAGAAATAATAATAAATAAATTGTGCTAATAACTTCTTTTTAATTAAATAGCGTTGTGTACTATTTCAGAACTTATTCAGCAAATTCAGTTTGCCCTTAATTTCCCCTTGCAACCACAGCTATACTTTTTCTGTTCAACAGTGTGTGTCAACAACAGCTACTTTCCCATCCCATAGTCAAAAGCTAAACATTTTTAGATTTTAGAATTTGTCCAAAGAACAGGCACTGAAAAACACGCAAATCAGTAAAAATGGAAAAAGAAGTGGAAAATCTGAAACAGCTAAGCTTTCAGATTTTAAACATTTACATAACCATTGAAATGCAAACACTGCAATAATAAAGGTATTGATTTGTATTGAATTGTATATTGATCTCTATTTCTGTTTTATCCCGTGATAGAAAGTCTAAGGCCTTCTCAAGCCGTACGGCTGATGCATCTAATCTGTGGCCTATTATGCATCAAACTAAGATTGCTGAGACACAAAGTAATGCCATCAAGTTAGCATTTTTAAACATTCGCTCACTAAAAAATTAATAATTTCTGATCAATGACTTAATAACCACAAACAACCTGGATTTTATGTTTCTAAACGAAACATGGCTAGAAGTGCAACAGCCCTCAATGAAACAGCCCCTCCTAACTTTAATTTTATAAGTGTCTGCAGGACTGTTAGGAGAGGTGGAGGTGTAGCTGCTCTATTTAATGTCTATCAATGCAAGCAAGTGTCATTTGTCGTTTACTTGTCTTTTGAATATCTAGGTATTGTGCTGAAAAGTGCTTCACACATTCTGTTTATCATTATTTACAGGCCTCCAAAATACTCTTTAGCCTTTGTTGAAGAGTTCACAGAACTGTTATCAATGACTTCCTCAGAGTTTGACTGTTTTGCTATTGCAGGGGATTTTAATATTCACATAGATAATGCAGAAATCAAAACTTCAAATCCTTCTTGTCTGAGAAGATCATTAATATCAGGAAGGCGATTAGCACATCCTCAAGTTATGCAGAGGTCAGACATATTCGACCGCAATTTCAAAAAGAAGTTACCATGTCTGTTTTTGAAGCAACTGATTGCAAAGTTTTGGAAGAAATAGTACAGCACCTTAAATCGTCAACCTGTTATTGCAGTTGTTAAGCCCCTTTTGAAAAAGAACAATCTTGATAGCACCATATTGAGCAACTATAGACCAATATCAAATCTTCCTTTTATAGGCAAGATTATTGAAATGTTAGTCTTTAATCAGCTGAACAAATACTTAAACTAAAATGGATACCTGGACAATTTTCAATCTGGTTTCCGACCGCATCACAGCACAGAAACAGCGCTCATTAAT